CCCTTTGTGCGTCTGTGGGTCTTGTGAGTGAGCTGATCAGTTCTGGGTCGCTTGAAGGAAGTGGTCAGTGGCCTGTGAGCAGTTTGGCCCCATTGCGATGCTCCTTTTGACTGACACAAGCACTTGAAATCAGCCGCAATGCTGTGCGTGTGTGTGCGTGTATGTGCGTGCGCTCGTGTGTGCTGTTTAACGTGTATACTTGTTTAATTGCCAGTTGGTATTTAAGAACTACCTGCACAATTCTGCTTTGATGTTTTTGAAAATGCTCAGTTTTGAATGAGACTTTCAAAATAGGTCATCATGAAACAGTCTTTAGTACTGACAAGGACCCGAGTGATGTTTTTTGTCATTGTTGTTTTTGTTTTTTTTAACAGAGGCCGTGTCAATTCCGATATCTGGCAGGAAAAAAAAAATCAGATAACAGTTCAATTGGCCGATTAATTAAAATGACTTAATGAATAAAATAAAAATTTTTGGTGCCTTCATGCTTACACAATCAAGATATATGAATTACCGGCAGAACATTTGACTTGATTCTTTTATATTTAACTTTGCGCCGGTGAGGAAAAAAAATGGCAAAAATTGTAAATATTTCATGTAATTGCTTAACATTTTCCAAGTACAGGCTTGATTTAAAGATCATTATTTTAGCATTTCAAAATATTTTCGATTAATATTGAACATTTCAGCTCCTGCATTTAAAAATCGCTCTTTAAATAAAAAAAAAAATCAGGAGGTGAACTCCAAATATTTTTTTTAAAAATTGTCATTTTGTTTGGGGTTTTAACATGCAATTACATTCGTCGAATAATTATGTAAATATACTTCATGAATTGGTGTTGTTGGGTGGAATCCTTGTATCTTCAAAGAGCCTTTTCAGGGTAAAAAAAATGTGTTTTAAGTTATCAAATGCAGTATGGGTAAGAAGAGGAAGATATGTTGGTAAAAATGTTTTGTTTTGTTTTTTACGCTGCATCTTAATCCGCCATATCAGGTTTTCTTAATAAAATCAGAACAATAATACAATATATTTAGTAATATTTATGAATTAAGGGTTAGTTTCAGCGACAGGTGGATTTTTTTGGAAAGGTCATAGCCATAAATTACAACACATGGTAAAATCCGTATTATGCAAGCCTTTATGGGTTAAGCTTAAAAGATATTTATGAAGTTGTGACAAAACATGTCAAACTGCATTTGACTCGTCAACATCTAACTCCACGAATCCATTTCCGTGTTTCTCAGAATCTTCTGATGCAGCGGACGGAAGTGCCGCCCCGCCAGAGGACCACCGCATGGCCGCGCACATCCTGACACCTGACGGGGGCGGTGACCTCTTGACCTGCGGCCAGTGTAGCCGGGCCTTCCCTCTGGCGCACATCCTGGTCTTCATCCAGCACAAACAGGGCGGCTGCCTCCCACGAAACCAAGCGACTGACGCCCGCGTCGCACCCCCCTCACCCACCCGCCGCGGCGTCACTATCACCGCCCCCTCTGCTGGAATCCCAATGGCCGCCTTTGCTGCGCCGGGCTTCATTGAGCTGAGGAGGGAAGAGGCGGCGGCTCGGGAGCGAACCTGGGGGGCGGAGCTTGGGGTGAAGGTGAAGGTGGAGCCCGGCAAAGCAGGTGAGTTCTTGGAAGAAAGAAAAAAAGGCAGGTTGCTAATTAGCCGGCCTGTTTTTTTTTTTTTTCCTCCCGTTTGTTTACCCCCCCTCACCCCTCTGTATGAGTCCAGCTCATTAGCTAGCCGTTGCCATTGGCAGGCCTTGGTGAGTTAGTGATGCAAAAGCTAATTGTGCAGAAAGCAGTGGCGTCGGGAGGCTTTCTGGCGGTCCCCCAGGGGGGGCCCTCCTGCCACTACGCCGAGCACCTGAGCTCCGTGCCCGCCCCCGACTCGCCACCAATCCCCTGCCTGCTTGTCTCTGAGGTGACCAGGTAAACATGTTCCGATTCCCGGGATAATACAACGCATGCTGTCAAGTTACGAACATGGAAGAAGCTCGAAAAGAGGATGTGTTGTATGTCGGGCTGAACCATTTTGAAAAATAATCAAATGGCCTGCCCCCCCCCCCCCCGCCCCCCCACTACCACAATATTGCGGTTGCGATTTAATATGCAAGGAACTTGTCATCATAGATGATTTAGAGTTTGATTTATGAGTTTATGATACCGCTTTATCGCAAGAAAGAATCAACTTATACTTTCTTCTGGGTAAGAACAATGCGAGTGACATGCTGCTTGCCAAATAGACAGCCCGCGATCCTCTTTGCTAGTGGCTTATGAATATTTCTTGCACTCTACAACAAATGTTGAGCTTCAGTAGAATACAGTTTTGACTTTGGCCGGAGGCAAACCTGCTAAATGTGAGCTCAGTCATTACTGCCGTCATTTATAGAGCGGTTGTGATTGGCTTAAAAACACCATGATGAGCCTCTTCCAAGACTCGCGTCCAAAATCTTAGTGGGTAGTTGTTTTTGTCAAAGTTTTTGCGTATGTTGTTTTTCCGGTCGGATTGGAAAGAACACAGATGTGAATCTCAAACAGGTTTGATAATTGGTTTCCAAGATGAGCCTCATTAAAGGGAAATTACCCAAAGAGGTTTTTCCATAGTACTGTAATTAGAAGATCTGATGCCCAACTAGTCCAGTGCCTTGAGGAAGCACCGGAGACACCGGATATTTCCAGAAAATGCTTGTTCCTCAAAAATGCATTTCAAGGAAAGTCACAGGATTTGGACAGCCACTAGTTCTCAAACATATTGCACCAAGTGAGGGTGACTCATTTGAAGCCCCTTTGGCGTACCGTATTTTCTGCACAAAAAGGCGCACCTAAAAGCCTTCCATTATTCTTATAAGCTCCCAGCGCACTTTAAAATCCGATGCGCCTTGTGTACGGTCATTACGGTAATATTTCGACCCCTAAAATGGCTCCTTGCTCGAGACATGCTGACAAAGCAGACTTCAAACTTAAGGCGATCGGGTTACGCAGTTGAACATGGAAATAGAGCAGCGGTAAGAGGGTTCAACGTTAACGAGTCAATGTTATAACTTGCTCTTGGTGAAGTGAACTGTGTCGCTGCTTTATAAAATACGTTTTACTGACATCTGATCGTTCTGTTGGCGTTTCCTTGAGCGTAGCTACACCTAGTGGATGCATTGTAGATTGCGTCTTATAATGCGGTGCGTCCAATGTATGAAAAAAATGACAAAATAGGCCATTCATTGAAGGTGCACCTCATAATCCAGTGCGCCTTTTAGTGTGGAAAACACGGTACCCAAAGGTGTCTAAAATCGTCACTGCAAAATGTCTTTAAAGCCCCAAATTACCCATTTCCTCCCGTGGTACAAAAAGCACAACTGTGCCTTCCGCAAAAAAATCAATTAAAAAAAATAATGCTCGTGCGAGACAACAAACCATCCGACAATCCAAAAATATATGGATGCTCTGAAAGCTTTCACTGCTGTTGCGATACAGCAGGGCTCTCCAACCCCAGTCTTGAACGGGTACGTTTCAACATGTTTTAAATGTCTCCCTCCTCCAGCGCACCTGATTCAAGTGATCAGCTCATGAGCAAGCTCTGCAGCAGCCTGAAAAAATGCTTCTGATCGTTTGAGTCAAGTGTTTGGGAGGAGGGGGACAGCTAAAACACGCTGGCTTTGATCTCAGATCTGAGCTCGATTCTGTGGCAGTGTAAACTCAGCATAGAAAATGGTATCAACCTTCTTTGAAATGCAATGACGTATCTGCATTCGGTATCATCACATTAGTTGCGCATCTATTGAAAGCAAAAACAGAAGTGAAATTTCGTCCGAAAATCAAAATGTATAAAAAGTGTTTTTATAGCTATTATAGTATTAAAAAAAAAGCAGTAACGGAGTGAAACATTATTCTGCTATAAGCCTCCCATAACATTTGAGCCTTGGCGGAGGTCTTTGCACCTGTCAGGACAAACAAACGGACGCAGCATCCCGCAGCAAGTAGAGATGAGCGTCCCTCGTGCACATGTCGAAACCTCCCATGTCGTGTGCACACACGTTAGCAGTTCCTTCCTTTGTGCAACGCTCAGGGAGGGGGGGGGGGTCAGGGGGAATGCTGCCTGTACTATTTCTGTCCATCCACAACATCTCTTGTTTTATTTATTTAATATATTATTTTCTTTCTTTCTTTTTTTCTTTTTTTGCATCCTCATCAACCGAAGCCGAGTCCACATGTCAAAACAGGATATCAATAATACATGCGGTAGTGTGCACACGGCTCAGTCAGTCTCTTTTGAGGTCAAGTGAATTTGTATGTGTCGATTTGAGCTGGAAATGACACAAGAAAGTTGCAAAAGACGGTCAGAAGCCGCGGTAAGAGGGATTCATGCATGCAGATGATTACAGTCAAATGTTACCGAGACGTCTGTTCGAAGTGACCGGGATCTTTTCAAAGGATTGCTTCGGCAAAATTGGAAAGGGATATGAATAATGGTCAAAAATGTTTCATAAGACGACATATTTTACCACTTGTCATTCAATATTTACCACTTTTCCTGAAAAATGCCAGATCGTTTTATGATGATGATGATAAAAATAATAATAATAATAATTAGTATTATTATTATTGTTATTATAACAATGGTAAAAATCAAAATCATCTTGACAATGATCATCATCATAATTATCATAACTTATATTTATATATTTTTTCAACTTTATATTTTTCAAAATTATTCAACCCTAAACAATATACTGTGTAAACAAACAAACACACAAAAAAAAACATTGCAAAGAAATGTCATTGTCAACACAATAACGCTTGATCATAATTGAAGCCGTTCATTGGCGGGCTGTTTTGAGTGAATGTGAGAGAGCGCTTATCCCGCAAGCACATGTCCCTCCTTTTCTTACTCTGCATCGAAGGAAAGTGTGTGTGTGTGTGTGTTTGCGTGCATGTGGTGGGGTTAGAGTGGGGTGGATTACTGAAGAGCCCCGTGCATCTGTCTCGTTCCTTTTTATTTATTCTCCTTGTTTGTTTTGTTTTTTTTTTTGTTGTTTTTTTTTTTTCCCCATCTCCACCGCCGCCCTCCTCCTCCGTCTTCAGCACACTTTTGCTTCGCCCGCTTTCAATTTCTTGCCTCCCCTCTCCGTCTCGGCCTCCCGGGGGAGAAGAGATTCTGCCTGCTGCTCGTTAGTGCTCCCAGCCAATCTGCATTTTTAATTAGTAGTTATTGCTTCTGCTTAATATTCAAGTGCTACCCCGGGCCAAATGGGAATCCTTACACACACGAAAAAAAAAAACAGAGAGAGAGAGAGAGAGAGAGAGAGAGAGAGAGAGAGAGAGAGAGACACACACACACACTTCACTAGTTCAATGAAGATTTACCCATAAGTGGTGGAAAAAAAATTGCACTTCACCATACTGAGAAGTGTTATTATTGCTTAACCACCTAGCCGCTGTCACCCCCTCAGGGATAGATTTGGGGGCGGAGGGCTTGGAGGATGGGTCTCAAGTACAATCCAAAGGGATGACATATTTTCACGGTGTCCTCCCCTCCCTTGCGCTACTTTATAATCTTTTTATCTCATTTTCTTTTTTTATCTCCCGAGCCCTGACCTACCTAGCTCTCTTTTCCTGCTCACACCCTATTTTTTTTTTTTTTTTTTCTCCCATCCCAACTTTTGCTGGCTGCCTCCTCGGGCTGGGTTAAAGGACATGAGCACCACACAGACAGAAAAGAGAGGAGAAAGAAACAGAAAAACAGTTGCTCTCTTTTTCATCTCTCGCCTCCTCCCCTCCAGTAAAATACTGACGGATTTGACTTGAGGAAACATGAAAGAGGCTTATAGCAGTCCGCTTTGAACCTCTCAGAAAGAAAGAAAAAGAAAAAAATAGAACACTTTCTCCCCCCTCCGCAATTTAGAGATCGTCTCTCCAGTGTTGATTAATGCAGAAAAGGCCTCATTTGTCAAGCAGGCTGAGTCAGTGGCTCATTTGCATAAAGCATTCGTTTGCCGCGTTCTGCTAATTAGCAATTTGCAGCTTAATTGGAAAGTGGTTTCTCGCTTAGCAGACAAAGCTATCCAACATATAAAAATATCTGCAAGATGCACCCGCCAGCACACCTCTGCTTTGCCTCGGCCTGGAAAATGTCACTCTAGCCCGGCGTCCTTTCTTTGATGTTGACAGAAAACATGTTTAGTGTGTGTCGTTTTGCTGACGCGCGCCAACAATCAATCAGAGAGCCGTTACTTCATAGACAATTTCAAATCAAAACAACAGACTATGGTGAAGAACAATGAAGCGGACTTCATATCTGCATCCTTTTGACCTTTTCCACAAACGACATTTCCCATCACCCCCTATTATGACCCCCAATGTGGTGAAAATTTGTATTTCAGCTCTTTATCTCAAAAAGGAAATTGGTAAACAATGGGACCTTGAGATCCAAGTTCACTTTGTTCCGCGATCCTGCTTGTAATTCAAAACCATTGTATCTCAAATCATCTTTGCCCATTGAAATGAATGGAAATACCATTAATCCGTTCCAGCCTCCTCAGATGAAAAAAATGTTGGCTTGTTTTAAGAAGAAAAATACTACTTTATAATTTTGCACTTCATAAAAAAACAGGGTGACAACAAAATTAAATATAATGTGAAGGATTAACTCGTTTGTGTTCCTTAAATGTGCATCATGATTTAACGTTGCGATCCAATTTGATGCGCTGTGCTCACCTTGGCCACCAGGAGGCAGTACAGTACAATACAGCCATGCAGATGTGAATAAAGAAGAATGTACTTGTGAACTCCTACTGTGAATGACTCAGGCTGTGTGCGTCCTCTGAAGACATTTTTTCTGTCGCATTTCTGGCACGACTAAACCGCACATGTTTTCCAAATTTGAGGAGGACGATTTGCAGACCGGGTGCTTCGACGCCTTCAAAGGCTCCTCCTCATGTAGGCTCCGTAGACCGTATACACCGTGACGAGTTTCAACAGGCTTCATGTGAATTTGATAACGTCTTGTGGCCAAAAATGCGGCCTTCGGAGGTCCCAGGCTGTGAATTTGGATACAGCCTCAGTAAAATGCTGTCGTCATTTTGTCATTTTTTTCGCCGTGGACAAAGAATATGTGCCTGTGAGCATTGTTGTACTCTGTTTTGATCTGCCTAAATGTCTTGATGTTCAAATATCCGTTGCTGAACGTTTTCTAAAACCGGGAGTATCAGCGCTAATTGTTAGCTTGTAAATGCTGTTTACCATATATGTTAGCATTCAGCTAAACTGATTGTTGTAAGGCACAGTAATGTTGTTGTTTGGTAGGAGGCTGCACAGATACACTGTGGCGGAGCGTATACGTCCCAATCGGGAAAATATGGTCGCTTTGAAGACTCAGATCAGTGGCTCATTTGCATGAGACAGGACCGCCCCCTCAAAAACTAATTTCAGCAAGGCCCTAAAAAGAAGGTTCTTCATCCTTAGGGCATTTTGATAAAAGTGTGTCACCGACATGTTAAGACACCTAGGAAGAGTTTTCTCACCCCAAGTAGACTGTGATCAGCTCCAGGTCCACCGTGGCCTTTTTGCGTGTCACTGATCGTGCTCTGTTTTCGTGTTTTCCAGGGTGCAAGGAGCCCGCCTACTTCACCTGTCAGCAGTGTGAGAGTGTGTTACACTCTGCCTGGGCCTTGTTGCAACACGCCCAACACGCCCACTCCCTCAGCATCTACCAGGAGGATGACGAGGACGTCCGAGCCAGAGGAAATCTGAAAGAGAACAAACCCGTCGCTGCCACGGTGGACCCTCGCCACCTGAGCCAAGTGCTCGCCTCCGCCTTCCAACCTACCCTGCGTCAGGCTCAGGCCCGCCAGACTCCCACCAACCTGCCCCCCAACAGCCTGCAGGCTCTGAACTTCTCCGAGCTGCTGCGGGGTCTTGCCGAGGGCACTAACAATATTAACAACAGCAATCTTGCCGTCAGCTCGCCGGGAGGCCTGGCGCCGTCCCCGTCCTCCTCCCCGCCAGCGGCGTCCCCCTTTCCTCAAACGGGAGTCCTCCAGGCTGACTTCAAGTGCGAGCTGTGCGACCATAACTTTCAGTCCCTGCGCGCCCTTTCCGCTCACCGCCGGACTCACGCGTGCGAGAGGCCTTACCACTGCGGGGTGTGCGGCCAGGCCTTTGCCCAGAGCGGGCAGCTGGCCCGCCACATCAGGAGCCACCACCGGGAGGCAGTAGGGAGCGGGTATGAATCAGCAGATGTGATGGTGATGGAGTCCACTAGAGGGAGGTTTCAAATACAGCCGGCGAAGGCCATGACGGACATGAGAGCGCAGGGCCCTTCTGAGTTGGACCTGGCGGTACCCAAACATCCCGCGATCGCCTCAAGCCTGATGCTTCTCCCCTCGCAGGTCAGGCCCTCAGACAAAGAGCTGCTGAGCCTCTACCGGAGCCAGAGGGATACCGGCGAGGAGGAGGCCGAGCCGCAGCGGGAGCCCCGGCACGCTTCCCCTTGCGCCAGCCCCTCCGAGGGCTCCCTGGAAAGCGGCGAGACGGGTGGCAGCGGCGAGAGTGGCATCGCCAGCGGCAACTGCACGCCCAAGCAGCCCGAGATGAGCGAGCGGCCCGAGATAATTGACTTCAGCTCGGCCATAGTCAGCGAAGCTGTGCAGGAGTGGCAACGGGAGAACGAGCGGAGGAGCACCGGCGGAGGGACCGCCGGCGCCACGTCCGGCTCGTCCACCAAGAAGAAGAAGGACGAGGCGTGCGAGTACTGCGGCAAGCAGTTCCGCAACAGCAGCAACCTCACGGTGCACCGCCGCAGCCACACGGGCGAGCGGCCGTACCGCTGCGGCCTGTGCAGCTACGCCTGCGCGCAGAGCTCCAAGCTAACGCGGCACATGAAGACACACGGGGCCCAGGGAGCCAAGGCGCCGTTCCTGTGCCAGCTTTGCGCCGTGCCTTTCACGGTTTACGCCACCCTGGAGAAGCACCTGAAAAAGGTGCATGGCCTCAGCCACGCCAGCATGGGCGCCTACGCCCAGGCCAGCGCCGCAGACAATCTGGCCACAATGAAGGCCGAAGAGGCGGCGGCGGTGGTTGTGAAGATGGAGGAAGAGGAAGCCAATCTGGATCAGATAGCCAGCACGGAGAAGGAAGAACTTAGCCATGAGGGTAGCCCGGCGGGAAGTCCGGCTACGGCGGAGGCGGCCGTGGCTTTGACTCCTGCTCCCTGAGAGCCCCCCCTCCCCCTTTAATAAAACTCTACCATGTACTGGACTGAACTGGCCTCACAATAAAAATCAATCGACAAGAAACTGGAGTAGCAAGGTGGCGGAAAAGCGGTCGTATGCCAGAAATCAAAAAAAAAAATTCAAACTGCAGGCTGAGAAAGTGCCTCCTTGTGTGACCACAGAACAAAACGGTGACATTCAAACAGGGACATTACCAGCGCTGCAGAACAGGAAGTGAGCTACCACAGTCCACGCCAACACAGGAAACCCCATGATCAAGTTGCAGGTGATGCAAAGGCACCACTTGTCGCTTCTCTGTGTGACCCACCGGACGGGCGACTGTCGTATCATCGAGATGAATGAATGACGCGAACGTATCGATGAATACGTGTGGAGACTTTCTGTTGAGACGGCCTTTTAAAGGCTAGGAGGCAAACGCTGTCTGTCTGCCGTGCCTCAACTTTCTTTTGAAAGGCGCTTGCTGGTCTCGAAACGTCATGTTTACAGGCCTCCTGGCGAGGTTGCGCTCCTGACTTCTTGTGACAAATGTGAATAGATTTCTGTGTGTGTGTGTGTGTGTGTGTGTGTGAGAAAGAGAAAGAGCGCTTTTCCAGGATTACTTTCTATGCAGCAAAACTGTAATTCTCTGGCCCCTGCGTGTGAAACTGATGTATATTACCTTTCTGTTCTTGCTGTTTACGTTTGTAAAATGTCCAATTGTTAGGAGCCTGTGCATGTGTGTTTTGCAGCTGTTATTATTTCCTGGTTGTGTGTGTGTGTGTGTTTTAAAATAATTTGTAATTTATGAACGCTGCAGCTTGGTGGTTGTGGAAGTGAGAGTGGAGAGGCACTTCATTGAGTGAGCACTTGCTTTTTGTGTGTGTGTGTGTGTGTGTGTGTGTGTGCGCGCGTGTGTGCAACGACACTTGTACTTGAACTGTGTTCCTTGACCGCATGCGTCCTTTTGGATCATTTTGTGTGCAGAACTCAAGCGAACTTTGTTTGTGTGCATGTGTGCGACTGTGTGTGTTTGTGAAACTGTATGAACACTGTTAGGTGCGAGCGTGTATGAGAGATTAAGATATTGTGCGTCTGTGTGTGTGTGTGGGTGTGACTGTTACAGTGAGACCGTATGTGTCAGAGTGATCAAGTGTGTGTGAGAGAATACTGTATGTTAGTAGGAGTGTGTGTGTCATTGCGTTTGTGTGCGTGACTGAGTTAGTGTGTGCGAGAAGCTGCTTGTGCAAATGGTGAGAGTGAGCGAGTGAGTGAGGCCATTTCAATGGGACAGTTTTTCAGGCGAGTGATGTGGAGTGGGTTGTTGGTTTTGGGGTGTGTGTGTGTGTGTGTGTGTGTGTGTGTGTGTGTGTGTGTGTGTGTGTCTGACTGACTGTTCTCGGGTGTGTGAGAGAGTAGACAACCTGTTCGTAGGACTGTGCGTGTGTGTAAATTCTCCACTGACTGTGGAGAGTTGGAGGGAGTGTTTTTTCAGAAAAGACAGGAATTGAGAGTTTTCACTGTGAGACAGCATATCTGAGAGATCCAGCGCGTGTGAGAGGCTACTGCGTGTTTGTGGGACTGTATGTGTGCGCAACTGAATGCGAAACGTGAGAGACAGCGAGTGCGTGCGTGACTGTGTGAGGAACAAAACTATATGAGAGTTTGTGTGTGTGTGTGTTTGCGAGATAGTGTGTGTGTGGTGTGCGCTCGTGTGACCACTGTGTATCCGTATCAGGGACAGCAAAATAAACGTGTGTAAAAGCAGTGTAACTGTTCAGGGATGATGTTTTATACATAGATTGACAATCTTACTGTTGTTTTTGCTGTTATTATTATTGGATTCCGAACTGCCTGTCGCTGTTACGTCTCCTGTTGATTTGTCTCCTTTTCCACTCAACACTTGCCTGTCTGACTCTGTTTTCTAACCTTGTCATGAGGATCCTCAATAAAGAGCTGAGGTGTATTTTTTGCATTGTGATGCCTGTTATTATCTTCTCTTATTTGTAGATCTGATATCAGGCTTTAACATTTTTGAACTGACAAGGAGCCCCCTGGATCCCTACCGGTAGATATTTTTTTTATGGGTATATGCAGCCTGATAACTGTCAGACGAACAAAAATATAACAACAAACCACAAAATATGGCATCCCCGCGGGAGCACAGTGGTGAGCGGTTAGCACATCTGCCTCACAGCCTGAAGAGGTTGGGGTCCGAATCTCGCTGGATGGACGACGCTCTTGGACTTTCTCTTCTGCTTTTTTATTTTTATTTTTAAAAGAAGACTTTATTTTTCCCATTTTGCCTTTTTTTTAATAGCAGTCGTTATTTTCCCATTTTGCCGTTTGAGTCTTGAAGTGTCATCCTTTGTGAACCAGGAAGTAGTCTGATCACTACAAAACAAACACAAATCATATATATATATTTTGAACAGTTGTTTGGGGGATTTATTATAGCTTTTTGCTATTTAAGTTACGATACAACTACTTTCCTAGCACTGGCTCAAAAATGCTATGTTAAAGCCATTTGAAGTACTGATAATCTTGATGTGAACAAACCGGAAGCCTGCTAGCATATGATAAAATATGGCACTGGACCTTTATTTTATTTTATTTTATTTCTTAGTTTTGTGGGCAATTCTTTCTAGATTTTGCATTATTAGTAGCAATGGAACACTGTCCTCTAAAACATTGCACAGTCCTATTGTTGCACGCTCATCCTCTGCAAACCATGAAGTAGTCTGATCCCTAAAAATACAAACATAAATTGAATTTTTCACTTCTGATTGAAGAAAGAAATCACTTTTTGCTATTTTAATCTCTATCGAACCATTTCCCTACCCCAGAACCCAAAAATGATAAGTTCAAGTCTTATAAAGTCATGCTTTGTGAACCAGGAAGTAGCATGCTAGCACAAACAAAGACAAAGACGGACCTCGACAATCTCTATTTTTTCTGCTTTTGTTGACTGTTCAATGTCTTTGTTCTACTCAGCGCTGCTCTCGTTTACATTTTTTCTTATTCGTGCTTGCAGTTTGGGACCCGCTACAAAGCTTTTGAAAGTATTTTAAGCGCCTCTTCTTGCCGTGGTTGTTTTCTCAGTCAGTGCGGGCTGTTTTCCTCTGAGGAACCCAGTCAGCGCTGACTTATTAATTTTTAATGTAAGCGTTTGGGTTAGGGACCCTCACTCCTTGTTTACATCCTTGTGATGTTCCCGCCTTTGTGTCAAGACGATGTCATGCATTTATAGTGTCTGCATTGTGTGTGTTTGTTTGGTGTCTGTTCCTCTCGCAGGTCACAAGAGGGCTGCAGCCGATGGGACGCGGCTGGCTAAAGGTTCTCAGGATACAAAAATTGAGGAGTGGTGCGGGGTGGGTGCCAGGGCAGTTTGGTTATTGTTTGCGGGCATGTTGGGAGGCAGAGCGGGGTGAATGGGGAGTGTCAAGGGGTTGGGATAATTGCTGACTCTATTTTGAGGACATAAAAACCTCTGCAGCAGCATCTCGGGCCCAAAGCCCACCCCACTCCTCCTTGTAATGAAAATGAAGTTCTATGATCCCTCTAGCTCATTAACAGCAGGTCTTTTAATGAGCTTTCAACAAGGTGGGGGCTGGGTAGATGATGACAAGTATGGTTGGAGTGCGGCTGGGTGAGTTATTGCACCAGATGTACACACGCCCACTCGTCCCAATTACCATTGTGTTATGGAGAATAAAGTGGAAATGAAGACGGAAGCCTCAGACTTCCATGAGTTACCGGTTGTTATTCCGTTTTTTTTTTTGTTTTTTTGCTCCACAGAGACAGAAAAAAGGAGGAGGGAAGGAGTGGTGGCTTCCAGGTGACAGGTAACATCCTCTATGACTCCCTCTGGTAAACTCTGGCCTCCTTGTCCCCGAGGCGCCGCCATTTGCCGCAAGTACGGGCGCAATTGTGTAAGGTAAGGCGATACGGGCAAAAACCCGCGGCCTATACAGAGTCTGGCTATCTTTTCCAGGACGATCCCGACTGCCCTTTGTCTTTTCTTTGTAGCGCACACCTCTCTGCTGTCGCCGGCCAATCACGAGGCGAGGACACGTCGAAGGCCAAGTGGAGAGCGAGGCACGCGGCACTTTTCTGACCAGTTGGCCGACCTCAACTCAAGTAAGGTGGACTTTGACTTCTTTCAGCCACACACACACACACACACACACACACACACACACACACACACACACACACACACACCCATAAACTGCAAAGATAAATGTTACATTCATGTCAATGAGGGAGACCTGTATTCAAGATCAAAACTTTTTTTTTAACACTGTTTCATATTGAGGGCTCTCTCTAATTCTTCATGTACATCAAGAAGGTGGCCCAAATGCTAATCAAAGAACCTTCTCAGCGTGATTCAGTGCAGTATTATAAAAGCCCTGGCCCTGGTTATGGAATCACCGCTCATGAGGATCGTCATTTACGGTACATGTGTAAATTTGGAGACAAAAAGTCAAATCATGTATTTTCCCTGGAACATTTTTTTTTTCATTCAAAGTCACATTCTTTTGGCTTTAAGAAACACTCAAAAAGAAAAAGAAAAAAAAAGAAAATTGCTGGAGCCAGTCACAGTTTTTATTTTTTTTATATTTGTAGATGAAGTTGAGTAAAAAACATGGATTCATTCAGTTCTGCGCACACAAACAAAAAATAAATAAATAAAATTAAAATGCTGGCTCGTTTTCCTTACTCACTGGGTAGTTATGGATTTCAGATTCAGATTCCGACACTTTATTGATCCCAATTCCCTTGCGGTTCACCGGAACACAATCACACACCATGTTTTATGACAAATCGTGCATCAGAACAAGAATAAAAACAAACAAACAAAAAAAAAACAACAGCGATAAGCTCATGGATAATAAAATAGCACAATAAATAGGCAAGAATAAGAAGAAATTGTTCTAAAATGACTGTGGCCAGCATTCAACAGCCTGACAGCAGAGGGAATAAAAGATTCAGAGTGTCTGTTAGTTCCACTCAAGGGTGCATGATAGCGGCGGCCCGAAGGCATCGCAGTGATCTAAGCGGACAGCACGTGGTCAGGCTGGCTGAGAATGCTCTTTGCCTTCTTCTTCACCCGTTTCTCCCAGAGGGAACACAAATCTCTCTGCTGGACCCAAATGACTTTCGAACCAACTATACTGTTTCGTCTATTCTGGTTCTTGAAAGACAATACGGCGAACCAGCAAACAAAGGAAAATGTCAACAGACTTTCCATCAATGAGCAAGAAAAAAAAAAAAAGATCAAAAATTTTATTCTGCTGGACCCAAATGACTTTCGAACCAACTATACTGTTTCGTCTATTCTGGTTCTTGAAAGACAATACGGCGAACCAGCAAACAAAGGAAAATGTCAACAGACTTTCCATCAATGAGCAAGAAAAAAAAAAAAGATCTAAAATCTTATATTTTAATATAATATTGAAGGAGCTCAGCCTTCTCATTCACTGAATTCTCCATTGTCCGCGTTTTACAATAGACTTGGTCTTGATGTCCAATTTGAGCTGAGAGGCAAACACCCTTCCCAGGTATTTAAAAGACTCTAGACAGCTCCGCCGTATAGGACAGTCGATTTTGTGTCCTGCGTTGGTGCGGATTTTGAGCAGATTGGGTTACATTCCGTTTCAATCCACTTGGTGCAACAGCTCTCCGAGGTGTGAACACCCTTTATTTAACAGCTGACTAATTAGCATATTCAATCTGATGCAGGTTTTTGTTATGGAACAGAAAATTACAAAATGATGCTATGATTTATTCCTACACAATGGAGTGAGTCCATTTTCTTTTTCCTCTACTTGCATTAGAAACAAACAAAAAAATATTATTCTGTCTGTCTCTATCTGTTGCTGCACTGTTTGTATTCAAATATCTGTTTCTTTAAGAGTTTCAACATTACTGTGTAGATGCTGTTTGTTTGTCTATCTATACCGTTCCCTATTATGTGCTGGCTTTAAGCTAGTGGACAAAGTTATGTGGTTGTTCTAATTCTCTTAATTTTTATGTGTAGTCTGAGGTGAACTTTAACTCAGAGGGCATTCATCATTTTGAAGACTCGTTCATGAAGATTTGTTCACTACACCAAACATATAGTAAAATAAGAAAAATCTGATTTTACAAAGATTCTAAAATACATTTCTAATGCAATTTGCATGAGTTGCTGTTACGACCATTATTTTTTTATTTTTCATTTACGGTAATTTTAATCCATCATTCTTATTTTTAATAACACTAATATGATTATGCAGTATCCTAAAATCTGTTTAGGACAAAAATATTATCTGGGTTGCGTATTTAAAAAAAATAAAAAATAATGAATACAGTGCAGCCATTACAGCACAACATGCGGTGGTGTCTTGTGGCCGATTGAAATCACCACGATTACCCACCCACCCCACACACACAACCTCGCGCACTCTCCGGACAAATGAAAGTAGCAAATAAAATATAAATAAAATAACACCTAGAGGTGAGCCTTGGGGTACTCCACCAACCATAATTTCAACAGTAAATTCAAGATAGCAAAGACATGTGAAAACCATCACAAAGAAGCACTGTGTTTCAGTCACAAATGTGCTATTCAAAGGCACGGTGTCATGCAGCAGCATCCATAAGGCTATGAAGTACACTAACCTGTTCAAAACTTAAAAAGGGAAGTGTTCCCAGCAGCCTCATGGCAAGTCACGGTCATCACACACACACACACACACACACACACACACACACACACACACACACACACACACACACATACACAAACACACACACACACACACACACACCATCACACACACACACACTGCATATACACACACTTTTCTGGCATGAGTAGTGCTCTCTGTAATTTAGATTAAATTTAAGATGATTAGCTTTAAAACTTGCACAACAAAGGGAATGTGTGAGCTGTATGTTTACTTTCCTGTGGGCCTGGCCCGTGGCCATAAGAGGCTCTCACTTATGCATGAGGAGATTGTGCTTTATCATAGAAAAAGCCAATTAACTGGGAGTTTTAATTACTTTTCTCTTGCACTGTGTGGAGCCTCCAATCATCTCTGCAGGCCCCTTGTCCTGTTTATCCTCCCTGATGTGGCGCACATTAAACTTAAGAGTGTCTGTGGTGGTGGGGGTGAGGTGAGGGCGGGGGGCATCATGGGCGCTCTCTGTGTGATATCATGAGAGCAGGAGAAATTATGCGTTGGGGAGCGATCGAAACGACCGCAAGAATCCCTCACAGCTCTTTATGTTCTCCTTGTTGCGAGCCCTCGCCTCCTCGTCTCCCCTCCCTCACTGACCGCAGAGTGAAACCTGAATGTTGGAATGACACCCGCTTGCTCTCATCTTCCCAGTAAGAGTGAGCTGAGAAGCGACACGGGCAGCCATTCATCAATGCCGATGGATACTTTTGGGCATTCAACAGAAACGGAGAAAGTTGTTATGGCGGGATTAAAATCATGACATTTTCTGTACTGCTTGTCCTCACAAGGGTCGCAAATGTGCTGGAGCTTATTCCAGCTGTTTTCGGGCAGTAGAGGGGATATACCCGGAACTGGTTGCCAGCCAATCGCAGGGCACTCATAGACAAACCACCATTCGCGCTCACAATCACACCGAAGGACAATATTGGGTGTCCAGTTAAACTGCCATGTATGTTTTGGGAATGTGAGAGGAAACTGGAGTACCCGGAGAAAACCCACGCAGACACGGGGAGAACATGCAAACTCCACACAGGAAGTTCGAGGCCAGATTCGAACCCTGCACCTCTGCACTGTGAGGCGGACATGGTAACACACACACACACACACACACACACACACACACACACACACACACACACACACACACACACACACACACACACACACACAACCACACCCACACACCCACACACACACCCACACACAGTGAATTTGTAAACATATTTATGGCCTTTATACTGATGAATGCCAGCACTGACACAGACATTACACAGAAATCTTTTGTTTCCATTGAATTCGGACATGTTCATTGGTCGCTCATAGTTAAAATGTGTTAAACTAAAAACTAACAGATATCATTTGAATATTTTTGAGGAAAAGAGACAATTCCATGAGTTGACCACATTTTATTTATTCAGTACTTTTTCCAGTGTACTATTCTCCAGCCATCCATGATTAATTATTTAAAAAAAGTAAATGCATAACTTGTGTATATTGTGAAAGTTCCAAACAATGTAGCCTTGTCTAAAGCCTGCAAAGAAAAGTCTGAATACTTTGTCTTGCACTATAATTTACCTGGTCCACCTGGTGACCCACGTTGACACACACACACACACACACACACACACACTTTCATTCAGGTCTGCCTTTTTTTTTTTTTTTTGCCCTACCCAGACCGGAAGAAAAATGCCAGAAAACTGGATCTGAACATACGCCTCTGGCAGGCCAACCATTTCCCCCATGGACTCACGCACACCCACATACAACAGTCAGACACACACATACAAGCACTCACACACATGCAGGGGTCAGAGGTTTGTCCCAGATAATGTGCGCTCTCAGGTCAGAAGGTGGTAGTTTGATCTAGTGACAGGAGCGCAGATTTTTCATGCGTTGTGCTTGGCCCGCAGGGCCTGACGGCAGCTCACTTCAACTCTTTCTGCTTCACATACATTCACAAAACAGCAGCTAGATAGGTTCCGCCAAACCTTGGCAAAATTACCCGAAAAGGTTCCACTTGTAACAAATGCTACTATTTTTTTGTTTGGATCTGTTTGTTTGTTAGTGGGCCAATTCCTGCTGTGGAATATCATGTGAAAAACTAAATATGTCTGGATAAAATGTCAAGGTTTATTTTCCAAATAAAATACTAACCGGCCTAATTTTGTATTGCGTTATTTAGAATCATTTAATTACAAAAATTAACCATTTATTAAATATAGTATAGTACATATCAATAGTTTTTTAAATGTGTACTGTATGTAAAATGTATTTTGCTGATTTTTGTTTTAGTTGTGAGAATAATTAAAACGTTAATTTAATTAGCAATAATTAATAATAATAAATAGAAATGAAGTTAAGCTAATATCTGGCGCTCTAGTTCTGTGGCTATCTGTTCATCATTTGCATATATATGTATGTCTGTCTGCCAGATTTATTTTGTATCCCTCCAGCAAGCTAAGAAGTTATGTATTTGTGATCCAAACTACTTTCCGCTCCTCACGCCCTTTTCCAGCCTTTTCTGCCACGCCCTCATGCACCCCGTGAAGGATCATTCCTGGATCTACTGCTGCCGTGGCTACCTTGATGTAA